AGGGACCCGCAGGTGACGGTGTGAGCCGAAGGGACCCGCAGGTGACAGAGAGCTCGGGACAGCACCGCGGCGGAGGCGGAGTCCGAGCGCACCAGCCGAGGACACTGATGCTACAGCTCTCGGCTATGCTGAAGGCCCCGCAGCCGGACAGCACAACAGCCTCAGTCCCACAAGAAGGGCCTCGGGGGCAGCGACCTCCTTTCACACAGCTCAGGGGAGAGAACGCGCGCCCAGAGGGAAGGACACAGAAACGCGGTGCGCCAGGTGAGAGTGTCCACGTCTTCGATGTTCTCCTTCCAACTTTTCTGTAGGTTTGGAAATTTTCACAATAAAAAGCTGGAGGAAAATTAAAATTTTAAATGTAGATAGTTTTTAAAAAGTAACGTGCCATCTGAAGTAAGAGTTTGTAGAATGCACGGAAGAACGAGGTGAAGGGCACCCAACAGCCCAGCACCCGGGGAGACCGGAGCAGAGCAGCCCCGGTGTGGGGAAGCCCGGCTGCCCCCAACGGGCAGGTCTGGCCTGGACTTTCCACGGCAGAGCGCTATAGATGCATCTCCTCCTCCTCACGATTTTCTCAATAACGTTCCCTTTTCTCCAGCTAACTCAGTTGTAAGAACAGAGTACAGAACACAACACAAAGAGCAAGTGACTGTTGATGTCATTAGACAACAGTGCGCTCTGGGTTAAGTTTTTGGTGAGCCGAAAGTTACCTGCGTTTTCAACGGCACAGGGTGTCAGCGTCCCCAACCCCCACATCGTTCAAGGGCCAACAGTACATGCAAGCTAATCTCTTCCTAAATGTAATTTCTAAAAGTAGAATACTTGGGGAAATGTTAATTCAACCCGTCCTCTCCAGAGACAAAACTGGAGGTGTGCTGGAGCGCCGAGCACAGACATCCCAGCCTCTGCCAGCCGTTAGGAAAGGCCGCCCTCCTTGGGCCTCTCAAACTGGTTCTGGCCCCACAAGGCCCTGACTGCTAGCCCCTTCACTTGGGCCACTGTTCAGGCTGTTTAGAACTTTGAGAAATGAAGCAGTGTCCCCCCCATCCCTAACCCCAAGTAAAAAGCAGGCTTGCTCACCACCTGCTACTAAATATGTCGATTCCCCAAACGCCGGGTTTCTCTCTCAAATGCAGCTACAGGAACCCTTCTGGGCCCCCTGGATCCAAGGGAACCAGCAGGCTGACCCCCAAGGCCAGCTGCACTGAGCTGAGCTACAGACCCTTGGTCTCTGACCCAGGAATGCATGTGTTCTGCCTGCATCCAAGAAACAAGAGAACTCAGAGACTTAGGAGGAGAGTAAAACCAAACCCCTTCGCTGATGGCTACTGGGACACGATCACAGAGAAAGGAAATGAAGGACCTACAACGTGTCCACAGGGAGCTGCTGGCTGAGGGGCTGTGAAATGTGGAAGAAGGAATGTGTCCAAACCAAGAGGCCCCTGGACAACACTGTACACTCTGGAAGGTCCTGACGAGGACAGGACACGGTGGCTGAAATTGAGGCTAACAGAGGCAATGAGCTCTATGTTAAGGGCATGTCTAAGGCCAGAACTCTTGGTCTGAATGTGCTACTAACTCGCCCAGAGACTGTGGAAAGCCACTGAACCTTCTCTGTAAAATGGGACTTGCGACAGACCCACCTCCTAGAAGTGGTAAAGACGAGCTACGGTGCGTGGCAGCGGCTGGTTCTCGTGAGAGTTCAACAAGCACTAGTGGTTACTCCTTCCATCACCCAACTACTTCGTCAAACAAGACTCCTCTGAGAACACAGGAGACGAGGCAGCCGAAGTCTAGCTGAGGACAAGCAGAAGCTGACACCCCACAACCCTTCCCCATGGGATATATGTGACACTCCTCAGGCACTCCTGGCTGCCCCGAAGGAAAAACAAACAGTTAACTGATAGAGACCACAATCCTGTTTCCAGTACAAGAGATCTCACAGATCCCACGGAGACCATGCAGAGTTACAAAATCAGTCCTTTCCTAAAGTTTGCAATCCAGATTGTTTCCAGTGGGTTAAAAGGCAGTCCAACGTAGAGTCCCTGGGAACTGAAGAAGCCTACTGGGGCCACGGTCCCAGACAAGTAAAGAAGGTCCATTACCAATTGCCCCCGACTCCAGGTGACCCACCCAGGGTATGTCAGAGGTTCTATGTGTCAAAAGCTACCGGGCATCCCTCAAGCAAGACATCGCTACTGATCACAATCCTGCCTTCCCATGAAGACATTCCTGCCATGAAAGGCCCATAGCAGGGATGCCGGCCTCCCTCCCCCTCCCCATTACATCCTAGGCTGCCGACGGGTGCCTGGTGGAATACCCATGCCTCCATTAGGGCCCTGCCACTTTTAACCCATGGGAAATACTAATAAAGTTTTATAAGAGGAAATTACCCAGTTTTATCATTTAAGTTGTTAGTAGAGAACATTGATAGAACACAGTGAAGATGGAAATCCATCACGGTCTAAGCAACATTCCAACACATGTGGTCTTTACAGCCAACTTCCCTGGGAAACCGCCTGGCTGGGTTTTAATCCCACGGGGTACTGTTTTCAGCCGGCTCCCAGTGGAGGTCCCACGGCCAGAACGGGCTAGACCAGAGTGTAGGGGGGAATCTCATTAGATCAATGAGGAGGAAACCTCACACGGGAGTCTGAAGATTGGCAGCCAAGCTGGCGACTTAGGTGGCTGTCCCGGGCCCAAGACAGACGACTCTGCGTAAGGACAGGAGTAAAGGGAGAGCACCAGGTCTCTGGGTCTTATTACCATCTCAGCCAGGGTCTTAACTTCCAGCCAGAGGCAGACTTTCTCCTCCCCGCAGAGCGGACACGGGCTAGAGGACTGCAGCCTGCGCAACGGACATGACTGTGTCCCACTAAGACTGTTGTCCTTGAAGGGCCCCTGGAATGAAAGTAGAGAAGAGAGAAAGTACGCGCCAAGTTCCCACGGAGGCTCAGAGTCCAGACGAGACTAGGAAGCCCCATGTTCGGCGCCAAAGGATGGAGTTTTGGAACATAGATAAGGTCCAGTAGGGTGAGGTCCAAAGCCGACGACCAAGAAAGAATTCTTGAGACGTCTCTGGTGCAAAATGGTGTTTTTATTAAAGCAGAAGGAGCCGCTGCCCGAGCTGAGAAGGGTATACACTTGGGAGTCGGGAAGGTAAGAACACGGAGGTTTGACTTCTGTGCGGTACAGATCACGGACTCCCGAGGCCTCGCCGTGGCCTCGCCGGCGCCACGCTAAGGTCGTCCTTCCCTGCAGTAAGAGCCGGGACGACCGGAGGAGCGTCACGCTCTGCCTGCTTCAAGGGTCCGCGAGTGGGCTGCGGGCCGGAAGGACACGGAATCGCACCCACGTTCCTCGCGGGCGTCGGGTCCTCGGCAGACAGACGCGCCGCGCTCTCGCGGACCGCCACGGAGTGTCCCGCAGGGCTGGGCCCGAGGCGCGCGCGCACGGGTGGGGCTGCGGGCTACCCGCCCTCGCCGGTCCTCAGCTGGCCCGGCGCCCCGCACCCCGTTCCCGTCCCCGTCCCGTCAGACCGTCCCCAGCTGCCGCCCACAGACCCTCACCTGCGCGCCAACTCCCCGGGCTCCCCCGGGGTCCCTAAGTCCCCCGCCGAGTGCGCTCCGCCGCCGCCGCAACCCGGGACGCGCTCTGCCCCGGACGCTCGCCGCACCCCCGACCCGCAGTGCAGCGCGCCCTTCGGCCGTTCGGAAGCGCGCTCCCTGCGTCCGGCCCCGCGCGGCCCCGGGTCCGGGCACCCGCGCAGCCGCGGGGCAAGCCGCGGGGCAGGCCGCGGGGCAGGCCGCGGGGCAGGAGCCTCAGACCCTGCGTCGGGAGCGCGGCCGCGGGCCCCGAATCTGGCGGAGGCGCCGCTCGCCGAGGCTGCGGGCGGCCAGAAGCGAACCCCGACGGCGGCCGGGATGGCGCCCGCAGCTCCCGCTCGCTCCCCAGCACCGTCCCGGGTCGGCGGCCACCGGCCCCGGCGGCCCCTCCGACCGCCCGCACGCACCCCGCTCTCTGGGAACGCCGTCGGCCGCCTGCCCCACCGTCGCCGCTGCCCCTGCGGACAAGGATTCGGGCACGGCGGGCGAACCGACTCGCCCCGGCCCACACGTTCCCGCCAGCGCCGCCGGGCGCCCGCTCCAGACCCCGCGGGCGGCGCGCGCTACCTGCTGCAGGTACTGATTGATGGTGATGTGCGCCATGGCCGCTCTCTCCGCCGGAAGTGAGCGGGGCCGCGCGCCCGGCCTCGGCCGCCGCACTTCCGGCCCGAAGTCCGTCCCTTCCCGCGTGTCCCCCGCCCCGCCTTCTCCGCACGCGGGTTCCGGAGGAAAAGAGTCCGTCGGAGCGTGCGCCCGGGGCCGGCATGGCGGCGCGCCCAGGCTGAGGAAGGCTGGGCCCTGCGCTGCGATTCGCCGCCGTCCCTCCGCGGGGACGCCTCGTTCGCGCCTCTCGGGAGCTCGGCTCTCCCCTCGCGCCGACCCCTGACCGGGCCTGCGCCCCGCCGCCGCCCACCCCCTCGACCGTTGCCAGCGCCCCACGGAGCGCCGCGGCCCGGGGCGGCGTCGGGGTCAGGCCGGGGCCGGGGTCGCGCCGGGCCGCGGGGCGGCGGTTGGGCGGCCGGGGCGGCGCTGACGGAGGCCCGCCCGCCCGCGCGGCCGGGGAGGCGGGACGGGGCGGGGCGCGCGCTGCTTCTCGGCCGCCGCCATGGCCGACGAGACCCCCAGGAAGGGCGCCCTGTCGGCGCTCGTCGGACACACCAACGGCCTCACGAAGCCCGCGTCCCTCGCCGCGGCCGCCGTGTCCTCCAAGCCCGGCGGCGGCGGCTCCAAGAAACTAGTCATCAAGAATTTCCGAGGTGGGTGCGGGGCGGGCGGCCGGGCGCGGTGGGCGCCGGAAGTGCCGGGCCCGGGGCGGCGGGGGCCCCGGGGAGGGAGTTGGGGGCCCCGGGGAGGGGGCGGGGGTCCGGGGGACGGGGGCGGGGTCTCCGGCCGCCGGAAGTACCGGCCGGGGTGAGCGGGACTCGCGGGAGTGGGTGGGGGTCCCGGGGAGGGGTAGGGGTCCGCGGCCGCCGGAAGTGCAGGTCCTGGGGCGGCGGGGGTCCCGGGGAGGGGCCGGGGGACGGGAGGGGGGTCCCCCGCCGCCGGAAGTGTCCGTCGTGGGGCGGCGCGGTCGCCCTGCCCCGCGGCCGGTGCGGGAGCCGTTGCCGCGCTGTCCCTGCGCCGCGGTGACCGGAGCCGCCGACGGTCGCGGGGACAGCTCCGCCCGCGTGCGCGCGCCGCGTCCCGCAAAGCGCCCTGGACGGCGACAGAGCGGCGCTGGCTCCGGGAGCCCTGGTCTCGCGCGCCGGGCGCAGGGTCCCCGGAGCGGGGCGGGCGCGCGGGCTGACGGGGCGCTGCGTTCGCAGACAGACCGAGGCTGCCCGACAACTACACGCGGGACACCTGGCAGCAGCTGCACGAGGCCGTGAGGGCCATCCAGAGCCGCACGTCCATCCGCTACAACCTGGAGGAGCTCTACCAGGTGAGGCTCCGCCGGGACCCCCGGGACTGGCCGCGCTGCTCCCGCGCCGCGCGGGTGACAGGGACCGGCCGCGGGGGGGGGGGGGGGGGTGACGCGGCCTGCGCCGAGCGGTCCTCCGTGCGTTCCCCAGTCGGCGAGACCCAGGCCCTGGGCACACGAGGACGTGCCTCCAGCAGGAGCCGCCGCGAGCCTGCCCCCCCCCCCGTGGGGGCTTCTGTGTCCCGGCGCTGGCGGGGTTTACCGTGGGCTCAAGGCCCCGGGAGGGCATCTGGAGTGACCGCCCTGCGGAGACGGTGCGCTTCCGGCGGCCGCCGACGCTCGCCGCTCCCAGGTCGCGCGGGACGCTCCGTGCGTCCTTTGTGCGGTGTCCCGCGCTCGTCGCTCCGTCGTGGGCGTCGCGATCAGCCCGGCTGGGACTTGCGCGCGGATTCTGTGGCACTTCAACAAGTTCTGTTCCTCGCCTAGACGGTCAGCAGTGGGTGTCACTTTGCAGGGTCGGCGGGTCAGCACCGGCTGGCCTGGTGTCTCATCCGGAGGGGCGTCACGAGCTGGTCCGCCGCCGCCGGTGCTTTCGGCCTAGCTCAGCTGCATTTCTGTGACGCCACCGTCTTTATGGGGACCGGAGTTAAATCTTTTCTGTCTGCCTGAAAGTGTTTGCTGTGAAAGACACGGAGATTACAGCAGGGCACGAAGAGGAGAGTTAAAGCCACCTACACTCCCACCGTCCCAGGAAGGCCGCTGTGGGCAGTTGGACGGGCATCCCTCCTCTCTTGGGTTAAGTGTGTGTGAGTCTGGTTTGTCTTCCGGTGGACTTTCAGCGTGGAGCTTACGGCAGTGCGAGTTTCGGTAAGGTGTGCGTTGACGAAATAGCCATCGCCACGATAAAGTATGGGATACTTACGCCACTTTGAGAAGTCTGTTCCTTCCCCTGCCCCAGTCCTTGCAGGTCATGGAAGGTCCTTCCTGTCAGTGTGTTCCTCCCGTCCCAGAGTCCCCTCGGTGGGACCCGTATCCTGCAGTTGCTTGTGCCCGGCGTCCTCCGATCAGGGTGGTGCTGGGGAGTGTCAGGCCCTTTGAGCGGCTGTGATTGCCGGTTCGCTGCTGGGGAGACCCAGGGCCACCTTTCCCCAGGGTAACAGACACTGAGATCTCCAGTTGGGGTTATGGCACGGCTGTTACGAATGTTGACACCGAAGTCTCCCGTGCACACGTGTTCGCTGCTCCTGGATAAAGACCTAGAAGTGGAGTCTCAGAGTCGTAAGCAGAGCGTGTATTTATCTTTTTAGGACGTCATCTGTTCGCAGAATGGCTGTGCTGTTTAGTTTTTGTACCAGTGATGTGTGAGAGCACCAGTTTCCTGTGTTCTTGCTCACACTTTTTTTTTTCAGATTTTTAAAAACTTTAGCCACTTGAGTACATACGTAGTGGTCCTCTGCATTTTCGTATGGATTTTAGAGTCTGTTTGCCTATTTCCGCAAAAATGTGTGCTAGGATTTTGATGAGGATTGTGTCAGATTCTCCATCAGTGTGAGGAGTGCTATGTCTCGATGGCGCCGCGCCCACCAGCGGATCAGAAGGCACGGACGGGTCTGTTGAGTCTTCCTTGATTTCTAGTTGTTTTCAGTTCAGTGTATAAGTCTTGTACCTCATCTGTGAGATTTACCCGTAAGCATGTGATGTTCTCGGTGGTGGTTACAGGTGGTGGTGTAAGTTAGAGTTTCTGGTTCGTGCTAGTGTGTAGACGTAGCACTGTCGTGTTGCTCTAGTATGGTGCTCTCTTGCTAACGCTGCTTCTAGTAGCTTCTTCCAGATTCCATCAGATATTTTACATAGACAGTCATACCACCTATGAGCAAAGATGGTTCCACTTCTTCCTTTCTAATCTTCATGCCTTGTGCTTCCTTCTCTTACCTCTGCTCACTGTTCAGACCCTCCAGAACGATGGTGCGTAGAAGTGGTAGAAGCCGACGTCCTTGTGGGGCTCCTGTGGGAAGAGCCTTCAGTTTTCCATCCTGCAGTATGATGTTAGGTGTGGTTTTTTCCAAAATACCCATTGTCAGATTGAGGGACCTCCTTTCTTTTCCCAGTTTGCTGAGAACTTACCAGAAGCACCTGTTGGATTTTGTTGAATTCTTCTGTGCCTGTTGAGGTGATTGTATGACTCGTTTTCTCAGCTTATCGCATTGATTGGCTTTCCAGACGATAAGACTGTCCTGCAGACCTCAGATAAATCTGACTTGGTAGTGGGGTCTTATTTTTTTATATGTTGTTGGATTCGTTTTGCTAATACTACATTGGTTTTTGAATTTGTGATCACGGGAGGTGGTGGTGTGTTTTCTCACATTTGGTTTCCGAGGGCCAAATAGTCCCTCCTTTTACTTTTTTGTAAGAGGTCATATAGAATTGGTATTATTTTTTCCTTAACTGTTTGAGAGAACTCCCAGTGGATCACTAACTGGCTCTCTTAGCGGGGAGCTCATAAACGACACATTTCTTCAGCGGCTGTAGAGCTGTTCGGATCACTCCTGTCTTCAGGGTCACTGATCTTCTGCAGCACGTCATCTGCCAGGACTGCTGTCTGCTGGGATTTTTGTCTCGTGCGTTGGCGTTCTCTCCAGATGCTCAGTTGGAATCTTTTCTGTGCCTTCCCTGTCACTGGGTAACTTCCGAGCTTAGGGAATGGCCTTAGAATAGCGGTTTCAGTGTTGGTTCCAGGCCACTTTTGAGTTCTTTTCTCCCCAGTAAGGGTTGTGTTTTCTTCTTTGCACGTCGGATAATCTTTGATTGTCAGACATGTGATGGATATTTTTGTATTTCTATAAATATTCTGAGCTTCCCTGCAGACCTGGTAAATTATTTGGGAACAGTTTAATCTTTTAGTCCTGCTTCTAAGATTTGCTGGGCAGGACGAGAGCAGTACTTTGTCCAAGGCTAATTGCCCCACAGCTGGGACAAACCTTTCCTGAATGAGTATTCAGTGCCTAGTATCGTGTGGTTTTCCACTCTGGCTTGTAGGAAGGTGCTATTCCTGGTCCTCTGGGCACCAGACACTGTTGTCTCTGAATCTGACAGTTTCCTCACACATAGCTCCTGGTCATCACTCTGCTGAATCCTCGAGGGGGGCTCCCTTGAGGTCTCCTCGCTCATCTGCAAGCTCCTCTCTGGCTGCATCTCTTCCCTCTGGGCCCTTGTCTTGGAGACCCAAACTTCAGCTCCTGGTACCCACTCTGCAGCCTGGAAGTGGGGATATAAGAAGTTGGGTCTTATAAGTTGGGATATAAGAAGTTGCTGGGGCTTCTTTTCCATCTCCCAGAGATCACCGTCTGTCATAGGCCAGTGTGCAGTGCTTTGAAAACGGATGCTTCTTTCTTTTTTTTTTTTGGCAGGGGTGGGGCGTGCTGCCGAAGCGGGGCAAAGGGAGGAAGAGGGAGAGAATCTTAAGCAAAGCAGACTCCATACCCAGTGCAGAGCTCAGCACTGGGCTCAATCTCACAACCCCGAAGTCATGGCCTGAGCCCAAATCAGAAGTTGGGACACTTAACTGATGGAGCCACCCAGATGCTCCTTTTGTATATTTTGTGTGGTTTTTGGTAAATTCAGGGAGAAGGGCTAGTCTAGTCTCTCTATTTTGTCTTGACCAGAAGCAGGAGTCCTGTCAAACACCTAAACCCCCATAGGTTTTTAGTTTAAGAAAATAACCATGCGGCGCAGGTAGAGCTAATTATTCCTCTTTTCCTTGAGACTTGACTATCTGGTATTTCTTTCCCATCGTTTTCCTCAGTAGAGTGACTCCGCAGTGGCTTTTACCCAGCAGGATGTTCCGTGATGGTCTCCATAGATACTATTGTAAATGCCCTGAGTGTCCATGTGCTGTCTTAGGACCCTGAGGGCCAGAGGGGCTTACCCCCCAAATGGGATCACATGTTCCATTGTGTGGGCACTGCAGGAGGGCCCAGTGGGGGTCTGTTGACTGACTTCCGAAGGGGTGTGGGCACAGGCAGCTCCTGGCCACTC